ACTTTTACTCTGTTGTAGAAAAAGAGACAAAGCAAAAAGAACCGAAGCTAAGCCCGAAGTTCGGTGGGAAGTTGATAACTTTGGCCGGGTTGGATAAAGCAGAGAGAGATTATCGCAAGCTTGTAGTGGATTCGAAACTTGAAGCGGCCGGTTTATCTTTGGGAGTCACGACATCGAAATTTGACCCCGGTAAGGGAAGTTTAACTAGTACAAATGCTGAACTGCCTTGTACATATGACACAACCGTTTTTAACTCTTGTCGTTTGTTGATATGCAGTATATTATCCTCTCCTCGGTTTCTTGGGCTACAGTTCGGTCAAAGAAGCCAAAGAGTTCAGGCGTAAGTTTCCGAACAAAGACCTTCAATCTAAAGTCGGTAAAAGCCGCGATTTGAGGTTAAACGACGCCATGAGGAGGGATTTGGTTCGTGCATTGGTGAAAAAGACAGCGGGTCAGAAGAATGTTGGGAAAAAGTCGACCGAGGTGGGGTCAAGTGCCACTTCGGCTGCTATGCCGGGGAGTCCGAAGTCTGCGCCCGAGGTGGCGACTACCGAAGTGTTGTCGGTAGTGGAAGCTGTGGCTATCAATCAGGCTGATCCGGAGCCAATTATTGCTGGGACTGAAATAGTGTCCACTGAGGTCGCCCATACCGAGATGCCACCAGCCTCCCCGAAGTCACTTGATTTGGAGCAACCGGAGAGGAGAAAGAAGAGAAAGCTGGTGAAAATGGCGGACGTCGGTGCTTCGTCCGAGGTGGAGAAGAGGTCCAAGAAAAAGCGCGACTCCGGCCGTAAGGTGGCTGAAAAAGGTACCGATGATTCGCCTTTATTTGAGAAATCCTTTTTAACCATTGATGGAGAACGGGCTGCGAAGGTTAAGGTGCCCGAGGGTGTAGTGGAAGATTGGTTTTCCACTTTCTTGTCAGTGAAATCTCCTCATATGTCATCGAGGATTGAGATGCCGGAAAATGCGAAGGATGCTGCTCGGGTCCCGTTGATGGTTTGGGACCCGAAGTCCGAGGTTGGAGTCTCTTCCCTGTCCAGTGTTGACAGGCTGAATTATGCCAAGGCGTGCGTTGGCCGAGCCTTGGTTAGTTTGGTGGCGGCCGAGGATGACCATCGCCGAGTTACGTCGCAGCTGGAAGGGAAGAAGGATATAATAGCTACTCGTGACGCAGTGATTGTTCAGTTGAAGGAGGAATCCACAAAAATGGAGGCCGATCTGAAGGGCCAGATTGCGGAGAAGACTGCCGAATTGGAGAAGGCGAAGATGGAGTCGTCGGCATTGTCCGAGGAGAAGAAGTCCTTTGAGGCCGAGGTGGCCGATCTTAGAGCTCGTCTCGCCGTAGTGGAGCAGCATTTTAAAACATCCGAAGCCAAGTTGATGGAGACCGAGAAGGCCTTATTGGAGGAAAAGGCTAGTCATGAAGCAGCTCGGAAAGAATGCGCCGAGACTCGGGAACTCGTGGGCAGACAGCACGATGCTCATCAGGCCGACATTGCTAAGCTGGAGAAGGAGAAGTCTGCTTATGGTGAATTCATGTATGAGAACGGATTTCAAGCCGGGAAAGATTCGGTGGTGGTGGAGCCGAAGTCCGGAGATAACGCCGAGGTGGA